CGATTCCTCTCGGTCCTCGCGAGGACCGTGAATTCGACGCGACCGACGGAAACTGGTTGCGGACAAAGCGCTGCGTCGGACCCCGGTCGTCCGGTTCGACGTCGAGGCGGCGGGCTCGATTCCGCTCGGGGTGTATCTCCTGACGCGATTAACGACGCGCGGTAGGTCCAGCACGCGAGGAGGAGCTGCGCTGGCTCGGATTTCGACGGCGCGGCGTTCCGCGGCCGCGCGTAGCTCGAGTGTCGCGCAAATCCGATCTAAACGGAGCGACCTCGTTTCCCGAGCGGACGGTTTCCCACGACGCGGCGGCGGCGTTCCGCTCGATCCTCGCGGCGAACCGAGCACGCGTCGTTCGCGGCTGATCCCGGTGTTTGACGACAGACGCGCGTGCCCGTGAAAATATTTCGACTTGCCCGTGGCACGCGGACAATGCCCGCTGACCTGCCGCGCTCTGGCCCTTTTTCCGGCATGACTTTTCAATAGGATTACGGAGAAGCCGGCGGAGAAGCCGGCTGAAAAGCTGATCGAGGGAAAGAGCGGAAGGGTCGAGGAGCTCCTCGACTTTCCGCTGTAATCTCGCGTGTCGACCCGTCCAAGCACGCGATCGATCACGACCGCTTACGAAGATCGATCGGGATCTTTCTGCCCTGCGAAAAGTTCTGCAAACAACTATTCAGCTCGGGTTTAAGAGGATTCTTTCTGGTCTGCGCCGTATTACCTTTGGTCAGTTTGAGGTTCTGGTAGGTTCTGTCGGGTTCCTAAGAAATATCTTCCGAAGTTTCGTTGTAGGAACGGAGTGGCAGAGAAAGTAGAGTTTCGAGAAGCGATTACCGAGAAATGTCTATTCCAACTGTGAATTTTAATACAATTCTGGAACATAGAATCGGCAATTCAACACCTCTCGCGTGTCATTTCCTCGGGCAATATCAGAATCTACTCCAACTCTTTTCGAACCAACGTCATTCCGCGATACTTATTAAAAACCGTACCTCCCAAACAATCGAATTACTCGAACAAGATATCAGCACATTCCCTTCTCTATTAACTAAGCATCCTTAATTCACCTTCACCCGTCGAGGGTCTCCATTTCGAGTACCAACCCCATCGTCTCTCATTCATTCATCGCCGTTTACTGATTACCCGTAACAACCGTATCAAGTGAAAAATCCATTGCCCACTCGATTCCTCGTTCCGAGTGGCATTCGCCGAAACTTGTCCGCGGTTGGGCTTGTCCAAATATTTAGAATCTAGTTTATACCGGGCGACACCGAGGAGAACGCGCGACTAGTCCGTGACGAAACGTTCGACTGCAGGTGGCCTACAGATGCCGGGGGATTACGGGGTTTATCCCCCAGCGGGGTATCGATCCCATTGTACCGCGGCTGCGAAGCTGGAGCGAGAGAGAGAGCGGAGTCCCGTCCTCCTCGCGCGCCCCGCCGCGCGGAATTCTCGGCGAACTCGAGGATGCGGCGAGACACCCTCTAGATTTACCTGGATCGGCCCGGATTGCCCGCGTTGGCGGCGGATCGCCCCGTTTCCTCGCGCGCTCCGTTCGATCTGCTCCGACTCGACCCTCGTCCCCGACCCCTGCCAAGGAGGACGCCGGCAAGGAAGCCGACGATTTGCGCGGCCGGGTCGCGGGGTTAACCGGGGTGGCGTATCTCCCGACGCGTGCTTTGAATTTCGACGATCGAAACCGCGGCGAGGGGCGACCGCTCGCGGAAACGCGACGCTTCGGCCACAGGAGACACGGGGAATACGGTGGAATTCTGGATCGACTCGGCGTTTCGTTTCGGCGGTTTCAGAATTTCCGGGAATCAACCCCTTAACTTGTACGCT